TTTGGTTGAAGAACAACAGCTATGTGGTCCATTCAGGGTTGGTGAGTCCCAAAAATGGATCTCCAGCTTCCAACACATTCCCACCCATCCTCAAGGTGGGCAATGTTGATGGACCGCATGTGCTGATGGACTGCAACACCCAGCAGCCCTACCCAGCATAGCCAATAGTAAGGAGTGGTGATCCAAAAGCAATTTAAGTACTGCAGTTGTTGTGTGCTTCCATGTCATTTTTGACTTATGGCGACCCTAACCAGTCCATAAAGTTCTAAAACTATGGGAACTCCCAATCAATTGGGCAATTAAGAAAAGAGTTGTCTCATAGGTCTAATCTGCACTGCAGACATAATACAGTTTGACACCACTTTAACTACCATGGCTCAATGCTCTGGAATTCTGGGCTTTGTAGTTTTGTGAGATATTTAGAGAGCTCTAGTGCCACAACAAACTACAAATCCCAGAATTCCAGAGGGTGGAGCCATGCATTATCTGTGCAGTGCAGATTCAAACAGTGGAATAATTAACCATGGATAGGATCAAACTAGCACAGCTCAGGCAAGGAAGCAATCACTTGTCTCGCCTGTACAAACGTTTTCTAAAGGTTCATTCTATGAGTTCATTAAAATCCTGGTTAAAAGGAGCTAGTGGGTGTGTAACTTATTTGAGTTTTCAAAAGACTTTTGACAAGGTCCCCATTAAGGAAAACAAATAAGTGAAAGGTCAGAATGCCCTGAAAATCTGGTGGAAGAATAATAGGATGCAAGGGGTGATAATTAATGGCCTGTTTAAAAGTGCAAAGGAGTTTAATGATGGGAAGGGGAGTACCTCTTGGAACTACTGTACAGTGTCTCAGTAGATGGTTAATGATTTTAAAGAAGGATGCCATCCATGAGGTTATAAAAGCAGCCACAGTCACAGACTTGCTTAAAGTTTTGATATAACCTTTTCCCTCATACGAAGCTGCCAAATGAAAACAAATGAGGCCATGGCTATCTTGAGCTCTATCTGCCTGGTTGCTCTGTGGGACTCTGATAGTGCAAAAAAAAAAATTGTTTGGTTTTTAAAGCATGCCTGATGCACAATGTGCTAATATGGTTCTCAGAATTGCATATCCATGGACAGCTGATGGCTTTAGACACTTCTAGAATTATTTAGAAATCTTTCTTGGACTACCCATAAATGGATATCCTACTATGTGGCAGTGAAATCGGTTAAGAAATCTTACTCTGCTTCGATTATTGTACAGTGGACCCTAGGTATCTGCTTGGGTTTGGTTAATAATAATAATAATAATAATAATAATAATAATAATAATAATTTATATCCCGCCCCTCTGCAGAGCAATAGGGATGGCCCACAACACCAAAATTTCCATACAGATATATCAACACAATCTAAACAAAACATAAAAATCCTGAATCTCACCCGTCCTTCAAGATGTAAGGGTTCTTCCTCTTATTCTAGGCCCGATGGTGCTGGACCTGATGTCTCTCCCCCAGATGATATCGGATGGAATGGAGGGAGGGCTCTTCTTATTCCAGGCCCAATGGTGCTGGGCCTGGTGTCTCTCCCCCAAATGACATCTGATGGAATGGAAGGAGGACTCTTCTTATTATTCTAGGCCCAATGGTGCTGGGCCTGTTGTCTCTCCCCCAGATGATATCCAGGACCTCCCATACCAAAATCCATGAATGTTCAAGTCCCATTAAATACAATGCCATAGTAAAATGGTGACCCTTATAAAACAGTAAAATCAATGTTTGCTTTTGGGATTTATAATTTTTTTTTATTATTTTAAAGCTCTGGATAGTTGACTCTGGATAAAGAACCCATGGATACTAATGGCCAAATGAATCATAGAATCATAGAATCATAG